AATATATATTATAATTATGTTATATAAATAAATAAAAATGTCACATAGATTAATATGTATATTTTAATTAAAAACAAACAAAATTACCTTATTACCCTCACCCTCCCAATCCCTCTTCTTCCCCTTCTTTCTTTCCTACCTTGGGATAGGCTGGGTTCCATCGAACCCAGTTGCTGGGTTCGGTGGAAACCCAGCCTTGCTGGGTTTGTCGACCAGCCAAGGCTAGGTTCATCGAAACCTAGCCAAGGCTGGGTTCGTTGAAACCCAGCCTTGGCTGGTTCGCGCGACCAGAACCCAACCTTGGCTGGTTCACGCGAGCAGCCTAGTTTTGTCAAAGGCTGGGTTCGTCGAAACCTAGATTGGTTGGGTTCCGATGAACCCAGCCTTGCTGGTAGCGCAAACTAGCCTTCTTGGTAGCGCAAACCAGCCTTGCTGTTTCGACAATGGGTTCATGTTTTTTCATTCTTCTTTCGATTTCCATTCCTAGTTGCTAATAAATTTAGGAGTTGATTTACAATTTGATTGCATTTTTGTTGGAATTTGATTAAAGTTTGATTGTATTTTTGTTGGAATTCGATTAGAGTTTGATGGGTATTGTTTATTAAAGGGTTAATTTGATTTGATAAGATCTGCCAGGTTTGAGACTTCAATGAAACCCAATAGCTCAAGTTCCCTGGAGAAAAGAGAAGAAGAAGAAATGGGTTAAGATCGGTTTTGTAGATGGAGTGGAGATGAGAGAGCATTCAGAGAAGAAGAAGAAATGGGTTAAGATTGATTTTGCAGATGGAGTGGAGATGAGAGAGCATTCAGAGAATAAGAAGATATGAGTTAGATTGATTTTGCAGAGAGTGAAGATGAGAGACCGATTTGCAAGCAACGTGGGATCCATTGGAGGGGTTTTGGCGCGAGAAGATGACATGTCATCAGAAAAAGTTCAGATCAGCACCTTTTTAAGTTGTCATCGCCATGTCATAAAAAAAATATGAAAAATGCCATGTGACTGAGTTAATGGCCCAAATTGACAAAAGGACTAACGGAGTGCATTTTGTATAGTTGAGAGATCAAAAAAGTGCAAAAAATTGTTGAGGGATCAAAAATGTGCAACTCACTAAAGTTGAGGGACCAAATTCAACATTTAACCTATTTTCATTCTAAATTTTAAATTAATAGATTAGTAAAACTTATTCCAAATAATAGAACCTCTCATTTTTACCAAAAAAAAAAAAAGTGTGGAACTTCTCTTTCGTTTAAGAATTGGGGAAGAATTTATCAGAAGTTACTCAATCCTTTACAAAACAAAAATAAACAAATCAGTGAATATAAATGTAGAGCAAAATCCCTTGTGTGGTGGGAGAGGGACCACTAGTTTTATTTAAAAGAATAAAAGGGGTATCATAACTTAAGGGTTAGATTCAATAATAAATAAGTGTTAATTTATAAATTAAGTATGGAACTTAAATTTTAAGATTAACACCTAAAAAATTTAAATTTTTTAAATATATTAAATATATATAAGAGTGTATCTTTAAAATGATCCGAAGAAGATGGCGTGCAAAGGTGGCTGAGATACCTTAACCATAAAAAAAATAAAATAAAAAAAACCCAATTAATACAATAGATAACGAACAGCTCTCGCGGTACTATTATTCTGACCTACCAAAAGCAAGAAGAATTTTGCCTGACTTGCTAGTCAACCTTTAAACTATAAATAAAGGAAAATAATGGTTAAACACTTAATTCAACATAATTTTTAATATTTATTTTGATTTAGTTAATAAAATATAATATAATTATAATCAATTCAATTAATTTTTATATCTTATATGTATATTTATATTTTTAAATTTATTAGTTTTTAATTTTAAATTAAAAAATAATAATTTTTTAATAAATATATTATACAATATATTAAAATGAATATTTACCAACACTGTGCATAAATAAATTCCTGCATCTAATCAGATAAATAGAATTCACAACCATGTAAACTTCCCAAAAGTGTGGTCTCATTCAATTAATTCAATTAATTTTCTGGCTCTGCCCCTCAACATGTGTCATCTTAGTTAATATATACCCTTCTGCACAACTTCATACAGAGAAGATACGCTACCAATAGCAATACCGTTCAACCAAAGAAATGATCTACCGAAGCTTCATGACCGAGTTGAATATTAAATTGTTTCCAGTTAATGAAATATATCATCTGCATAACATATGACAAGAAGATGAAACCAATGAAAGTGGCCGACCACACTTCTCTCAATATCACATCTTCATTGGGCATTTTTATCGCGACACAAATATTAATTTGTTAAGGTTATGTAAAAATATCATAAATGTGTTTTGTTTAACTATTAAAAATAATTAATAATTGTAATTATTAATTAATGGTTTATACAAGTAGTTGATATATGAAACTTAACAAACAGATATTGGGTTGTGGTTTGGTTTGCAGTGGTGTGGACCTTATGGTTGAGAAGGAATGAGATGATTTTCCAGAACAAAGAGGCTCAAGAAAATAGATTGTTTGAATTGATTCAAGCCTGATCATTCTACTAGTAGGTTAAGAGCAAGTTGGGTTTGGAGAACATTACTTTCACGGAATGGAGCAATAGTCCAGTATTGTGTTTGAAAACAACGAAAATGATTGGGAAGGATAAGCAAAATGGGGACTGAATAGAATTT